GGCCGGACACGTGATGCACTTCAACGACAACCGATGGACAAGAGTCGTTACCGATTGGATTTCTCGGGACGTCAAGCGCTCTACAGGAAGACCATTGACCCGTTGGTCCGATTTCTTAACGAAATATGTAAAAGAAAGATATGATGTTCAGCTCCCTAGAGCGAGGAGAATCCACTGGGCTTCTCTTGCACGCAATAGGAAAAAATGAAAGTGTTGCTGGTACCTGCCCGAGTCACTCGACGTTCAACGGGACGACAGGTGATACAGGTGATACTTTGTTTTCGAAATGGCCTTTCTGTTGCACTGTGAGAGTAAAAATAAAATTACGTTTAATACTGCAGCATTTTTCTCTGGAGAAAACTTTTCTTCTAGACCGTTAGTAATCATTCGATATCTCAAATCTTAAAAACTTCAGCGATGCACTTACTTCTTGTAGAAATTCTTCAGTGCGCTGTGACACTCAATGATTAGGTTTCACATTTGGCGCGCTTTCATCGCGCAGCGCGTTCTCACGTGGGATGCTACTTCGCTTATTGAATTCAAAGTTCTTCTCCACTTTGGGGAAACTTTAACTAATAACATTGATGTTTAAGATTTCTTCTAGACGTTCATATGCTTTTCGTGTATAGAATTAGGCTTCAAATCAGCGTTAGCAGTGATTTATTTAACAATGTAAAATGAAAATGAAAAACCTAAGCCCCTAGAACGACAAAACAAAGTTCCTACGCGATTAATTTCGGAATTATCATGAATTTATGCTATTAAATAACTGTTGTGTTACAGGAACGTGGTGACATCGTGCCAATATTGCGAAGTTCCATCCAACAGGAGCATAGAATGCGCGTCGAGTGGGAGACCCGATTTTTCGGCTCCTAGACCGCAATTAGGAGCTATTTTGAAAACCAAGCAAATCATTGAAATCGTCGAGATTTAAGTTAACGAACGACTACAAAAAGTCCTTGAAGAGCTCGATCCTGCGATAATTTTTAGAATGTGAAGCAAAATTCTATTCTACTCTCACAGCTCAGTAAGAAGGTTGTTTGAGAATACAGTAGTAGGCCGCTGAAATTCTCAAAATTTAAGCTACTGAATGACTACTGAAACTTGGAAAATAAACACAAAATTGGCGTGTTTCCCAGAGTGCTGAAACAGTGTGACAGAAAACACGATAGTGAAAGCCACTGTGGGTTTTTATAAGTTTTGAATAAGGAACAAATTCACCTTATGGACTTCGGAAGTAGAGATATGGCTGCAAAATTTTCGTTTCATAAAACCTGAGAACAAGCATCGACAACAATCATGATTACTCCTATGGTTAGTGATTACAGTTCGATTCGAGAGGTGATAAGAAATACCGTTTAGTGCTTTTTGCTAGCTAAAGATAAGCATTCCATGTGATTTGTCGACGTGATTGAATCCACAGCGGCTCATATGGCAACTTTATGGTACCTACAGATGTACTATGTCAAAGCGCTTGATATTCCACTCTCTCGGGTTTTCGTCTGCCTCAGAGGGATAGAACGATGAAGTTGAACCTAGTCACAACTTCGAATTAAGTACTGCGTGCATTACAAAGTATCTGTAAGCACTACGCTTTGCAGGCGATTTCAATTATATATAGTGAGTAATAGATAGCTTTATAAATTTGAATATAAACATAGATACAAGCGAATGCAAGGTTGTTGTTAGAGAAAATCAGTTCTTGTGGAGGTATTCGCAAAAACGGGAAAAACTATTCCTACCGAGTACATATCGAGTAAGTGTCATCAAGAAAAGAGAGAAGTTGTCATATTATATTCGGCTGAATGTTGGAACTTGGTAGATCTCCTTTTTTTCATTCTTCATACAAACTCAACGATATGCAAGTTTGATTAGTACATAACTGAGCACCACCTTGCTGTAACTATATAGGTTGTGGCCGATTAGTTGTGATGGTGTCTGGGGTGCAGCGCGAAACAAGAGTAATCCTGAACTTTATTTCTCCGCGGCAGTCAACAGCGAGAGCAGTATGCCCTCTATAGACAGACAATTTCCGAGATTGCAGGAAACGCGCTCTGCTAGTATTCTACGACGTTCAAGAAGAGGATGTGAGCAGAGTTAGATGGATTTGCACATTTTGGAACTGGCAGATGAATCAAATAAAATAGGAAAAAATTTAATATGTAGTTATTTGTGATAAAGGCTGTGCTGTCATCAAGTTCGTCCAACCTATAACATTTCTAAGTTCCACATAAGATTTAAATGCATGTCTGATCTTTGTGGGTAATTTTGGTGCATCACTTGTGTACTCCTACGTGTACATGTCAGCGCTTACGACTATTGGCGGCAGCAAAATAACCCATCCTTTGGAAGCGCGTGCATGTTTGTACAATACCGTCTAAATGTCATTGAAGCGAATTGGCTATACCGAAACAGCGCTGGATTAGAGACATATTTGGTAATATTTCCTAATATAGGCTCAATCAGAATCACCGCAATTAGAGTTTCAATACGCTTCCTACACTCAACGAAGTTTATCGCAAGTTTTCTTGCGTTAATTCTTTCTTATTAGGTAAGGCAAGGGTTCTGGAAAATCTTTGAAAGTTTTATATATACCTAAGAGATTTGACTGAAGAGTAAAAACACGACCTTGAACGGGAGTCGAACCAGTCTCTCACTAATTCGGGGGACGATGTCACACTGGCTGTCAGGTCAACTGGGTTTAGGAAAACGGAATCGCATATCCAACCAAACCTATTAAAGGTTAAAGGTATATGTTTATGCAGTTCATTGATTTCAACTCCAAAGTCCTTATTGAACAGCATGATTTGTGTGTGTTGGTCCGTCGTTGTTGGGGAAAAGGTTCATCTATTCTTAAAACCGTCGATGAATTTAATGAAGGCAAAGGTGGTGACACGACGACAAAATTGACGTGAGCAGATGGTTTAAGAGGATCAAAGATGAGAATTTCAATCTAGAAAACGTGTTTCGTTCTAGAAAGTCATCTGTTTTCGATGAATGTGACTTGCAAGCCGCTCTGGATGCTGAGACTACACCGAGCACTCGTGATTTACGTGAAGAGCTTGGAGTTTCACAAAGGGTCGTTGTCAAGTTGCCTGTCGCATGGCATCGATTTGATTTACCAAATTAGGTTGAAAATCATGGAAGGAAAAGTAAGAATTTTCCGACTCAAAGAAGCCGGATTGGTTCTTCGAGTGGGCCCGGAACTTTGTGGAACATTGGCAGAAAAGGAGCACATGTGGCGCAGTGGTTAGAGGTGCAGTGCGCCGCACATGAATACAATGGTTCTATCTCACGCTCGTGGCTCACCAAGCCATTCATACCTACGGAGTCGGTAAATTGGTATCAGATTGGTCTCAGACTTGTCTGGGAGGATAAGCAGCACTGACTCGATTCAGCAGGAGGCCACTGCGGACGACTGTAAAGACCAGATATCATTCAATCACCTTAGACAAAGTGAAAGTTGAAGACAAATGGATGTCGCTACCTTAGAGATTGTGTCAACGCCGAGAGCTTCAATCTTTTCATCCCTTTACCCGCAAAAAACCGTGGACGATTTTGGTGTATATTTAAAGATATCTATTTCTTTTGCTGTCAAATTGCCCTCAAAAATAATACTCTTAAAAACTTCCCAAAACATTTCGCTCAATCCTAGAATTTGAGATGAAATTGTTTAACATCGGAAGTGTTACACAGTAGAATATGAAGGATTCAGAGTCAAACACAAACACTGCTCGAGGTGAGCAATTTCATAGTATTCCACGAGAAAAGAAGTCGAAGATTGTAGATAAAAACCCATATGAGCAAGTGAGGCCACAGGGCTCAGATCATGCTGGGTGATTAGACATTGATTTTATAAAAGTAATCTGACTGCTCAAACTTTGTGAATTCACTAATAGACAATTTTATCTACGCAGATCGTTGAGACTGAATACATGCAAGCTCCGATTATTATAGAACACTGTAGTGGACGTCAGAGTACTGCAAGAACAAAATAAATGAAGTTATGATCAAGTGTAGGATTGGAGGCATATAAAACATATTCGTGTCAGAGCTAATCGACTCGAATGAGCACCAAAAAAACACGAATCGATAATGATTAGAAGAGGAAGAAGCAAATGTAGAGGATTTTGGTTGTATAGGCCACACGTAAAACGAAATAAAAGAAAGAACAAAAGGTGAAAACACTAAATTTATTTGAAATCGAACAAACTCAGTACGGCTCAAATTTTGTTGCCATTGTGAAGGTATGAGATTTTCGTTAGCAGTGCAACACACATGAGCATTAACGATACAGTGAAGACACAATTAGGATTGACCAAATCTCGTTTACTTAATGGCTTCAATGCTGAACATGGAGCTTATAGCATCAAAAAGTAGAATTTGTGTAATGGCTTACGAGTATGCATAATTCGTAAGTAAAAACGGTTCTTTTTTGCCAGACGGCGGCAAGCGATGAAACGACTTCTTTCGCTGTAGAAGAACATCTCATAAGAGAAGTAATCATTCGAAAACTTGAATTTCTGGCTACTGTGTTTCGTTTAAAAAAAAACTTTTCTATAACGCGGTAGTGCTATGAAAAAATAAAGAATTGCGAAACAGAACTATATTTTACACCGGCCACGCGCTTCTACTGTTGTTCCGCTGAAAGAACAAAAAACATATGAACGTGTAGGGGAAATCTTATAGCATCGAAGTCATAATGGCTTTTCAAAAGACGGCCAGGTAGCGCACTAACCAGAGATTAAGCTTTGGAATGATTACCATAAGTGCAATGGAGAATCTTTGTTCAGCAAAAAAGTACATTCTTCACTTGTCGCCGTCTATCAAGAAGAAAGCAAAAAAATCTATCAGAAAGCCCAGTTCTCAAAACTCACAGAAAAATTTTTTTCTCTACGAAAGTTACTTTGAATCTCGTTTTACGATTGAAATTTCTATTGTTTCTATTGCCTTTTCGCAGCGTTGTGATGTCTAAGATAATGAGTGGTGAGCAAAAATACCACCTCAGACGGGAGTCGAATTCGCGTTTCGTCCGTACTGAGAGTGCGTGCCACCACTACACCACCGAGGCACATTTGCGCCACCACTTATTCTTTAACATCTCTATGTTAGCTGCGAGTCACTATCCTCTAACAAGTTTGGTCTGGTATAACGATTTCCCTTTATAAACTCACTTGAGCTGATAGCCATTGTAAAAAGTAATAATCGAAATTTCCAATGTTTTACTGAATTTTTCGCAGTGTTGTGATGTTACACTTAGTCCTAAGAGAATTGAGGGTGATCAAAAATACGATCTCGGGCAGGAGTCGAACTCGCGTTTTATTCATATCGGAGACGGGTGCTGCCACCACCCCTTCGCATGCCCTACCAAACCTGTTAAAGCTCGGTGGTTAACAGCCCACATAGAGATGTTGAAGAATGAGTGGTAACGCAAATGTGCCTTGGTGGTGTAATGGTAGCACGCACTCCAGTATGGATGACACGGATGTTCGACTCCCGCTTGAGGTCGTATTCTTGCTCACTACTCGTTTTTATTATAACCATGAAGAAATCGTTAACACAAGAAAATTATTGAGCAAAAAAAAAATTGGTTCCATCTGATTATAAGGAAACAATAGAAAAACCGATCTCGTTCGCTGGAGAGAAAATTTTCATGAGAGTGTTGGTAACCATACGAAAGCCGAAAATTAAGGCTACCGTTTCACTTCGCCAGTTTTTGAAACACCCTTTATAACGCTGTAGCATCCGGATCAAAAATTGTACTTCACACTCGCCATTTGCCTTCATTTTAATCACGCGTATAATTCGTTGGAAGCCATAAAGTATATCAATGTGTAGGGAAACTTTCGTAGTATCTTAGTCAACTGATATATCCAGAGTTCTCTCCGAAGCGGAGGTAAAATTCTCTATTGAAAAGAAAAGATACGTCGTCTTGCCTCTCCCTGCCCCTGTCACGCCTCTGCCACGGCCTTCGCCTTATCAGATAGCCTGTAAGCAACGGTACCAAAATGTAAGCACATTATTAAAATCAGAAAACATTACTTTATCAGATAATTGCTTATATCCTAAAGAGAGCTCTGTACGACGAGATTTCAAGCACTAATAAAAAGACCAGGAAAGACCAGAAGATCAAAAGAGTTTTCCAAAAAGCATATGCGTTTTCGAGTTCTTTGAAGTTTGTGCCATGGTTCGAGTATCACTTTGAGGAAAGAGTTTTGTACAGCGAAATATAAGCGAGATAGAAGAAAAAACACGTGGTTTCATAAAACATTTCATTTTGAGATTTACTATGTTATAACGGGGTATTTCGAAAAACACGTGATGTGGGGGTGTAGCCACAAGTCTCAACATTCGAATGGCTACCATCACTCCTAAACAAACTCATCTGCAGCGAATGAAATCGATTTTTTATTTATTCCCTTCTCATCAAAGAAACCAAAAAATTCAAAAATTCCAATAATATAGAACGGTGTGCAAAAACACTTGCATCAGCCGCGATTCAGACCCAGATCGCGCTCTTTCCGGGAGCGTGTACTGAACCGTCTACGGTCTGGAGTGGGCAGGCACTTATCGACATTGAACCCACTTGTGCTGACATATGGGATTTCAATAATCAGTCAGAGTTCATTTTATTTGTGTGGTGCAATACGAGCGTAGGTGGTGCAACAGTTCAGCACACGCTCCCTGAAAGAATGCGATATGGGTTTGGACCCCGGCTGACGTGAATGTTTTTGCACACCACTCTGCATTATTTGGTTTATTGTAACATCATACCACCGCAATACGCATTTAAATAAAATGAATTCTGATTGATTATTGAAACCCAATATCTGTCAGCATAAGTGGGTTCAATGTCGATAAGTGACTGCCCACGCCAGACCGTAGACGGTTGGCTGTTGTCAGATAAATCATCATAATGTTGAAAGAGCGGTGTGCAAAACGAGCATCGGTGGTGCAACGGTTCAGCAGGCGCCTCCGGATAGGGTGAAACCTAGGTTCAAATCGCGGCTGACGTAAGTGTTTTGCACACCACTCTACATTATAGGGTTTGTTATAACATCATACCACTTCAGTATGCGTTCAGATGAAGTGAATTCAAATTTAATAATTGATTTTAATAAGAAAAAGCAAGTACCTGAAGATATAAAGACGACTGGCCCACTCGGCGTTGGCTCGCCGGTGAATGACTAGTCGGCCGACGAGCAGTCCGCAGTGCAGATATACTGATTTGCAGCGTGCTTGACATGTTAGCGCGCCAAATTCAAATCTGTGCGCGAAGGCGCGGGCTCGACAACGGCGTGTCATGAGGAAGAGGGATATCGATTGATCACATGGGCCCCGTTGTTTGCTATACACGTCGTGTCGCCTCAGAGGCGCGTTCCAAGTTTAGAAACCCTGACGATGAGGACTAGAACTCTCATGTGGCTCAGTGAATAGAGGGGCTCTGCGTCGCACACGGGGTTAATGGTTCGACCTCGCGTTCATGGCTCATCAAGCTGTCCATCCCTTTGGGGTCGATGAATTGGTACCAGACTCGTCTAGGAGGATAAGCAGCAGTGACTCGGTACAGGGAGAGATCACCGCGAATCATTGTGAAGGTCAGATATGATAAAGATAGATCAAATAACGTTATAAATTTGAGACGAATGCATGGCGCATCTCTCAGGGAATGGCCCCCGAGAGCTTTATCCTTTATTCTTTATAACACTGTGGACAACGTCAATCAAAGGTGTTGGAGGAAATTCTTGTGAGTCTATCACAATCAACTACTTACATGCATACGCGCACTGTAGTGGTTAGAGGTGCTCTGCAGTACATATTAGATCGTTCACTGGTTCAACCCACGCCCTCGAAATCAGCAAATCATATTTTAGCGATCATCTTTAATGCGAGTCCTCTTTTGAGAAAGGGAAACACATCTGATTCATCGGTAAACCATTCCATGCTACTGTTCAATTGAAACATATATTCGACTACTTCTACAATAATCAGTGAAGTCGAATGCAAAGCAAGTTGAATGCATCTACAAACTTGTTGGCCGACGTTCCAGAGATTCAGCCCCACAAACGCGATGCTTTGTAACACAAACAAAATGTTCTTCCCCAAAAGTGCCGTCAAGTCATGCTATGCGCTGCTATATGGTATATCAGAAGACAAAAAAAACAATATTCTGTTAATTGGCAAGCCGTTAGCCAATAGAATATCGCTGGTACAGTCTAGGATGGATTTAGGGTGCTGAAACTGAATGTTGAGCAACGAAATGATCTCCAGTCGTTATTTACAACAGCAATATTGGCTTCGCCTTGATATCCATCCGAGTGGAAAAATAAATATCGAAACGAGAGCTCAACTCATGCAGGTTTTTATTAAAGTGATTCATCCCTTTGGTAGTTTGTTACGTCGTCATGTGTTGTAATGAACCTTGAGTTTTTTCCCTGTTACTTATTTGATTCCTTCTAGCGTATTGAAATTTTTCGTTAAAATTCAGCGCACTGGATCGAAGACGTCCGTATTGAACTTGAAACTGTAGTCATTTTCACAATTCAAGTCTACTAACCATGATGCTTATCAAGTTTATTCTGCCAATTTCTGCGGGTTTGGTGACTGAGCGCCTTACAGTTTATCTCTGCTGACTCCACATTCAGTGTTAGCATATCGCAACCGTGCATGAAATCTGAACATCAGTGCATGATTAAATCCTATCTCAAAAACTAATTACATTTCCATTCTGCACTTAACTATCAGGTTAATAACTATTTATGCTGCATTTTGTGAGTCTTTTACTTCAATGACTATTGTTCCGGGATTACTTTTGTGAGTGAGATCTCAGAAGATACGAAATGACTGAAACAACCAATTAGAAACTTGAGTGTCATGGAGATCGGTCCTCATTTCATTATATCATGTTTTCGTAAATTTCAAAGAATCATCCATCATTATGTTAGATATGGGGTTGTGACCGAGAAGCTGTGACGCTCGTCGCAGCGCGTGTGATCTAGCCTACCTCCCGACAATCTCCTGCAGTCAACGACGAGCGTCCTAGGGAACGTCACAATCAAGCTATCCTCGACATTGTAAAGTGATGCGCTCAACCAGTACTCTATGACGGTGAAGAAGACGAAAAGCGACTGAATGCTAGAGGTACTGAGACTGGCACAGTGAAAAAAAGCACTATGAAGACCGGCAATGCGAATGTTTGATAGGGAATAAGACAGTCGTTTAGACTGTGATAGTTTCGAGTGATCATAAGAGGTATATTTTCTCTCAAGAATTGACTGATTGAGTTGCTAAGGTGTTGATAAGGAAAGACCAGAGAGGTGAACAGTAATGACAAATCCTGTTTCCTGAAGCTGCTTTTAAAATTGATCATTTACTAGACATCGTAAAGGTGGCTAAATGTACATTTGACATTACAGTGGGTGCGCGTAGCGCAGTGACTAGACATTTCCTAAAACAATTTTCCGTTATTAGTATGAGAGAAATTATTCCCTTACTGATTTTGTAATTGAACTGTACTCATTTCTGTCATAGATATTGAGCTCTCGAACAATGGCCAGAATTGTTTAAAGTTGTAAATACAGTCAGCTCCTCTTTCACGAGTATATAAGGTATGACGATTTCATTATGTCATTCTGATAAGTACAGTATAAAGTCCATTTTGTGTTGATGAGGAAGGTCTATCCGTTTGATTATAATGGGCATCGCTTACTTTAATGAATGTCCCGACCTATACAATAAATTGCTCTTTCCCTTGATGTTTCTACTGCGTGAGTGTTTTTCATCCTCTCAGATGAGTCTGGTAGCAATGTGGCCATTGGATGGCGAAAGAGGATTCGCGGGGTGGTTAGCAACAAGGGCCACTGAAAAGCAGAATTCTGCTTTGACACCCTTCCATAACGCTTCTTGCACCTCGGGATCATCTTAGTTCGGGACCTCTCCTAGATTGTAAGAAAAATCAACTCGACTAACACTCTAAGAAATATAAGAAATTTCTTAAGAAGCAGCCGAAACAGCACAGAAAATGCTTGAGGACTCTTAGAACGATGGATACGAAAAGATAAATGGAATTCA